TATTCTATGATTCTATGATTCTATTTTCAAATATTCTTCCCTGTATTTGTGGATACAGAATTAGCACAATACGACTGATATTGAAAATAAAATTCCTGTTCTGGTACATATTTGAATGATATGCTGTAAATCATATTGTAATAATCCAATAAATGTTCACTTAATTAATTACACTAACCTGTTTGTCTGGAAAGAAAAGGTAGTCTGTGAACTGAAGAGTTAAAATCTTTTGTCTCTTTCAGACTAAAACTGCTAGATGGGTTCCGTCTTTCTTCTAAGTTTGTAGAAAGAGACTGCTCCAAGACTGCAGAAGCAGCAGAGGCTGCATTAAGCTGGAAAAGAGCATCTTGTGCTTTCTTTTTTTCTTTTTTTAGCATGTTTACCAGAATATCTGCAAGATAAATTAAGGAAATCATTAAGTACCTCTTTTTTATAAAGCAACAACCACCTTTGTTTATCCCTAAGTCTTTTTTTTTTCCAAGTGGAACAATTCACATTATGGAAGCCTGTATGTGAATGTGAATTTGGAGTTGGGCATATTCTTTAAAATTATAGTCGTCCACCTCAGTTTTTCCAAACAGCAGATTCATTTTTACTAAACAGTAACAAATTCACACATTGATCACAATTCTTGATCCCATTCAATCAATGCCTGATAAAAGCATTTACAGACAAACAGGAAGGAAAACTCCAGTATCTTATTGCCATTGTGTGACACTCCCTTTTTTATTTTTTAAATTCTGTAATAAGCAAAATTTCCAAACAAAAGAAAAAACTCCTTAAATTACAGGTAGCCTGGCAAGTGCATCGCATCTGTAAGCTTTCCACAATAAGAAGGTTTACTAAAATGCAGAACAGGTCTTTAGGAAATTTCTTCCAATAACACTGTGTATTTACTGGAAGTATATTTGGTATAAATACATTTTACCTAACAGCTTATAGAGGGCTTACAATGAAAATCCTATGTGCATTCAGCCAAAACCACAGGAGTCCCTGGGATATGCTATTCATTTTAATCCTAATTAATCTTCTAAAAATCTAAGTAGTTTTTGAGGAATATTATCAACTGGACTAGGTAGTAATAATAAAACATTTTACAATTCAGTTGTTATGATTGCTCCTAGCTACCATAGGCAAGAAGGACCTCATAGTTTATTGACTAAACAGCTTCCATACTTCTCACCACTTCATCACATTAGACATGTTATTAATTTTCTAATGATGATGTACAGTCACTTAGCAGCTGCAGACTCTGTAAATCAGTTTTGTGTTCAAAGTCTTAATTTTTATATTCCTCCTATATAACTCTAACATGGATTTGCACAAGTTTCTTCCTTGTCCTTCTGCAAACAAAGCTGTATATATCTATCAAGCACAAGTGCATTTGATAGAGTTGTTTTGCTTTTTTTCATTATCAATGTCATACTAATGAAATAATTTTTTTCAGGAAGAAATGTTTCTGGGAATCCAGATCTTAAAATCGACATGAAAACTGAAGAATATTTTAAAAGGAATGATAAGTCAGTGTTATAGCTAAATTTATTTGAAAGTGCACCTTGGAAAATGAGCATCTAATCTTCTGTGACAGAGCAGAAATAGAGAAGCTTTCCTGCCACCTCAGTTCAGACTGGTAGCATGCTACATGTAAAATGCCATTCTCTTTTTATATATAAAATTGATCTGGAATTGTTGAGCACAAAGAATGCAACTGAGTTTGCTTTTTCCTATTAACCGTGAAAGGATCTGTTACTTATAAACTCAAAACCAGAACAAAACCATTTTTTCAGTTCTCTGCCATATTCAAATTTTACCCACCAAGTAGCCACAAAGTTAGGGACACAGTGATGCTGCGGTCTGCCCACAGTTCTGTCAACCTGCTAAAAATAACTCCCACCCATCGTGCAACAGTACAGCTACTCATGTGTTTCCTGTGAGGCAGTGAAATGGACAAAACATGTCTGAGCAGTTTAGTATTTATATATGCAAAAAGCTTTAGCTTTAATTTAAATTTTAAAGTTGCATGTAAAGAGTACAAGTTTTATATTTATTCTAAAGGCAAATAGCCCAACAGTCCCCAAAGCAGCACTTCATTTGGCTAAAAATAACACTTACAGGAAATTCTATTCTTTGTAAGGTAATAAATTGTCTTTATATAGCATCAGAGTTTCCCATTCTAAAAAATGGTTTAATTTGCTTGAGGAGAGTGTTTTAGGCGTGGCCTGATCCACGGTATTTGGATCTTGGCTGGACCGTTCTAGAGCTAAGTGGTGCTTGGATCCAGAATTTTGGTTTGGGTCACAACTGAAATAGAAGCAGGTGCAAAACAGGAGTCCTGCCACGTAAAAGTTGGGAACTGAGTAATTGCTTTAACACAGTGGGGTGAGTAGAGAGAATTTCCTTCCATACAGCTAATGCTATCTCACACACACAAAAACCATTGTAGCGAGATCAGCTCAAACCCAAATATTTTTTTTTTTCCTCACAAAGGATACTGATTTCATTGTCTCTTTGCTGCAGAAGTTCTTTCAGTTTTTTCAATTCTTCTTCTCCTGCTTCTTTGTTAGTGTCTTTCTCTTCAGAGGTGTGTTGTGAGAGCAGTTTTTTATCAGAAATCCTTGAATGATTCACTAGTTGCTATTAGGAGAAACAAAAAAGCACACTCTTAACTTTACCTCCAGCTATGTGTTTATTCTACTCGGAGACTGTCTAGCTATGGTAGAAAAGGTAAGGCCTATCTAGACTCTTAACAGAACAAAATCATGCCACTAGTTGACTGTCATGTTATATGCTTTGTGTCAAGTATGGGACAAGTTGTATTTGTTGATCTTCACTACCAAGCGTACAATTTACTTTACTCTTTCTACACATAAATTCCAGTGTTCTCTAGAATCACAGAGCTTTCAGTATTAACAATATAACTAAACCGTAATTATTTAAAGACAATAAAATAAAACCAGGTATGTATACATTATAATATTGGAAAACTATATCCCAAAATACAGAAAAGTATATATTAGTTTCTATTGTTTTCCCTATTAACTTTAATTGTTCTTCCTAGTTTAAGTGTATCTTGTTTGCTCGATGATTTAGAAGGGCTTACAACACCATCAGGAGAGTTAGTGTAACAGATTCAGGGATATGGTGGTTTTACTCTTTATTTTTATCTCTTTCAACATAGTTTGTCCAAAATAAAGCCTCCATAGTGCTGGGAATACAGATGGGTACATCTATCCATATACAAATAACTTGTCTGTGTTGATTCCAATAACTTCCAGTGCTTTCTTACAATTTACTGCATGTTGAGATTCTTGCTGGGGTTTCCGCAAAATGTTGCTGAATTTTTCCAACTAAATTTCAGATTTCTATCAGTCCTCCATGCACTTTGCAGTTCAATTGTTTTACCCTTTTCCAATGCCTCTCAACTGCATTGCATTTCTTTTGGCACTTTTCAACTGTGAATGTCTTCAAGTTATTTTCAGTGCCAGCTGGACTTTCATCTATGTTTAAAAGAAATACCTTCACATGAATGAAGCAATACTTGATCTTGCGCATGTCAGCACCAACATCCAGAGTGCTATCAGGATCATTATCTTCGAGAAATGTTTCAACTAACTCATCCAACCTGAAAATACATAGCATTTTTAAGGGAAAAAAATAATCACAAACAAGCAGACAACTCTGTAAAGTAATGTGTCAAATACAATACAAGATTTACCAAGCTGACTGATATTAGTAGGCTGTTTTCCTTCAAGATCCATGCGATTGCAATGCACTTTTGTTCCTGATACTAAAACCTGGATTTGGTACTGGAGATTCTACAACTCCATATCAGAACATACTTGCAAATGTTAAGGAATAGTTCTAGAACTAAAAGCATTTAAGCAGTAATCTTTTCTTTTTCTCATTTATTTTATAACCTTCTGTTCTTCCACCATCTCATAATTGAAAAGATCTAAAGCCTGCCCTCTCGGAAGACTAGATTTTTAGAGGCTTTGGGCATAGGATTTTTTAATATATATGATTATTTGTGCAAAAGAAAAATCTACTTCCTTTTCTATTACAAGAGTTAGCAGATAGTCAGCATAGCTTTCATACATAAAATTACCTGTTCCAATCACCAAGAAAAGCAACCTATCTTTTGATGCAGATATTTATAGATTTCTCAAAGACCTACTGCTCTTCTGATCAATGAAATGTAGTTAGTATTTTATGCTCTTGCAATTTGTTCTTATTTAACAAACATTTGACAACATCTTCCTTAGGGAGGAGCCATTCTGATTTCGGTAATTCAGTCTTCATAAGAAAATCTGGCACACAGAAGCATCCTCTTCCTTTTTCAAAACCAAATTAAAATACTCATACTGGAAACCTACAAAGGCATAATATACTATGCCTGTGGGCTGGATGTCTGAGCTATATGGATAGAGTCAGATTGCCTCTTGTATGCTCTCACCAGCTGTCCAGTTCTTGTATTCCAGGATGCATGGCAGATCATCCTCAAAAAAAGGCAGAAGATTTCTAAACCAAAACTAGCTCTTAGCCCACTTACTAAGGTATGTTTCTGGAAAATAGCAAGTGCAAGTTCAAACTCCATCAACTGGTTTTAGATTAAAGGCTTACTGGTTCGTGACAAATGCTATTACCATTAACTTAGTAGGCAAATGGTGGGCAACGAGAGCCATATGCCCTGTAAAGCATAATTCTATGATTTTAAATGTTTATTTAGGTTATTATACTCAGAAGATGAACCTAGGTTCTGAACCTAAGTGAGCCAAGGTGTCTAAGTATCTACCTGCATCAAGTGCCCAACTGCCAGAGAATGGCAGCAGTTCAGAACCATCTCTGCCTAGTGTTTCTTTTGGTCTAGTTTTGTTCAGCTCCTCACGTAATATGCAAGCCTTCTGAATGTCACTTAATAGTCACTTATCCTCTTCATTTACAGGATTGGGAATCTTGTTGCCATTTTATTATCTGAATCACTTTGCTGTAACCACATACCAAAATTTTAGGCATTATAATATTACAATATCTAAAGTTGACCCTAAAGTAGGTGGCTGGGATATTGCCCTGCTTTTGAAGACTTCTTTTACTGAGATTCCTCACATTACTGTACTATAGTAACAATTCCCTGCTCGAGGGTGAAACAATGAGATGCACAATAAACAGGAAAGAAATAAATCATTATTTTCAGGAGATAAATATCTGAAAATTAGGACCTGTAAGACTGGAATGAAAATTGGAAAACATAACAGATAGGTTTGGTTATTTATCTCCTCCAGAGTTCACCATGGCAAAGTGTCAATTCTCAAAACAAGAGAAAAAGGAGAGAAAAGAAGAGAGCAACCCTCAATTAGTTTCAGATCAACTGTGCTTTCCCATTTTCATTATTTCAATTAAAGAACAAGAGACAAATATGTTGTCTATATCATTCATCACATGTGCAAAATTCACAGCTTCTGAATTTATAGAACACTCCTTGAAGTCAATGTGAGCTGTACATGTGGACAGCTTAAAGGAGAGGGTATTTAAAGAGAAATATTAGTTACAGGAGCATTACTGGCATTGACTTGCTTCTCAAGTTAAGAGACTACAAAAATTACTGGGTAAAAGAGACCAAAATTTTAGTTATTGCTACATGATTTTTTCTGCATGAAGAGTCCAACAGAACAGAGGCCAGTAGTACAAGAGGTTATTCATACTCTCTGCAGACACACTAAGCACAATGAGCAGGAGAATTAATCTTTCATACATGGAGGTAGGCATTTGTGTAAGCACTGGGAAAAGAGAGGCATTTATACTATTAATGAGAATGCTATAGTGATTACACAGACAGAGAAAGTAAGTATTTGTTACTGTTTTAAGCACCTTATTAATTTCAGTAAGAGTAAACAAGTAAATATTTTTTATTACTAGATTGTCTAGACTGGCTGTATGAAGTCATCTATAAAAATGGGCTTTTAATCTTGAACTAGAAATTAGAAAGGAGATATTTTAACCTTACTAAGATTACCTGTTTGCCAGGGATTTACTCATACTCAGATTACCACAGATTTAGGCTATGGGAATCAATCAGAAAAATTACACTAACTTGCACCATTACCATTACCAGAATAACACTGCAGAAAGTTAAACTATTTCAACAGAAAGAAAAAGAATATATAATTATTGTAAGATAATGCTCTATTTTTGAAAATAATTATAATTTGCCAATCAAGGCTCAAGGTTGATTTATCAAGAGTAATGAATTAGACAAACTGCAGTTATAGGTATGAGCTGCTATTTCCTCTCTCTTATGTTACCTTTAATGTGTTTGGCATTCTTGAAAAATCAAACCAGCCCAATTCATTTTTTGTGTCCCAAGGACTACATAGAAGCCAAACCAGATCTGAGCACCAGAAGACTGAGTCAAGTCTGAAATAGCAGAATGTAAATCAGAAGTTATAAACCAATTCAGCCTCTTTGCCAATTCTAGGAAACAGCAGAATCTTCAGTGTATTTTTAGATACATTTTTAAAATTTCATCTTTAAGAATTAGAACAAGAACAGACCAACCTAGTCTAAACACTATGGACAAAAACAAAAGAAAAAGAAAAAGAAGAAAAGCAACAATGAAAATCCTCATGAATACCAGCAAAAGAAATCACTGCATCCCTCACATTTTTTTTAGCTTTCCGTGTAAAAATTACCAGAACTTTTTCTAAAATAAACATACAGTCTGACAACACTCTGGATATTCTGGGAGTTCTTCCAGTATATTAAAGTATTAAACAAAAGTAAAAAATAAACTGACAATGTGATACAGATGCAACTTGAAGTTTCTCTTCTTAATGAATAGATCTTAGTTAAAGGAACCCTTTTTTTTTCCCTAAGTGATTTATCAGCTCAAGGATTGTGAAAACAGTTGAAACATTCTCTTATGAATTTATACAATGGCAAGATTTGCAGTTTTACAAATGAAAAAACCCAATGCTACTTTCAATTCATTTCCAGAGATGAAATAAATCAAGGAGACAATAAAGAATCACAGGAGGAGGGAAAAAAAAGGACAGAGGATAAGAGGAAAAAAAAGGAAAACAAACTGTATATTTTCATTTTCTTAACATATATTAGACAAGGCAGATCTGCTTGCTAGGTGACTTGGAAACAAAGGAAAATATCATTCTACAAGATTAATATCCTTTTCCTCCTCATATTCCTGACTCAAACAGTGTATTATATTTACCTCTATAAATATTCATAAAAATAAAATTAAATATATGGAATATATGAAAACTAGAGCACAGAATTATATAAAATGGAGCTGTAAAAGATTTAAGAAATTCATATAGGACATCTACAGTTACAACTCTGACACATTGTTTCTAGTCAAAACATCATGCACAGGCTGTAGTCATCCTCCTATTAAAAGATGCAGAGCAAGAAAACCCTTTTTTTAAGTAAAGGAGAGCCAAAGTGCCTTTTGGTTTTCATTCAGTTACCTTCAAGAGATGGATAATACCTTTCTCCTTAGCAATAATAATATTTTCTGAGATTGTCCTCTAATCTCTGATCCTTCGTTCTCCACCAGCGGAATGCATATTAAACAGTTTTTCCTCCAACCAAAGACTGTTGCAAGAATATACGTCAGCAAGAGTCAAACCAGAAAAACACATAGAGCCCAACACTGAACAAAGTTGGGCCTAGATGTTCAAGAGGAACAAGAAGCCCACAGAGGACAAGAAATCCAGAGAAATCCCTAGCAAATGTTGCTTTAATTGCCTCCTACTCAGAGGCATGCATATGTGGCAGAGCAAAAGTAACAGGAAATCATGAGGTAAAATAACAACGTCCTTTTTCGGAAGGACTTTTTTCACCTCAGTTGTAGTAGAACAACTAAAAAAGCATAGGAAACAAAATATTTTTGGTCGGTTGTTGTGGCTCAGCCCTGAGACCATATACCTAGACCTCTCTTAGATAGTCACTACATTCTATTTCCTGGAAAAGTTGCTAACTATAGTTTCTTTTCAAAAAGACTTGAGCAATCAATCCTTACATTTACTGATGACCAGTTTCTGCTATTATGCCAAGGATAACGGTTAATATTTGCATGCCCTCTCAAAACAGAAATTAGGAAATAAAGCTGCCCAAGGAAGGGAGTTTTGAAAATGAACTTGCAAAAGGAATGAACATGCTTGGCACAGAATACATAACATATTTGAAAAATTTCTAAGTTTGTGACTGAGCTTTTCTTCTCCCAGAACATCCCAGGCTGAATGTTAATTTTCCCACTATACTCATTGCCAAAAGTCAATGGGAAAATAATTTAGAAAAATCAAAGGTGTTCATGTACATAGGCTCTACGACATGGCTGAGTGTGCCAAGGTAACTCATAAAGTAGAGAGGAGAAAGAAGCCCAACACACTTTTGTTAAAGCTTTCGATGAAAAACAGATAGGATCAAGCAGAAAAAAATAAATCAACCAAGAAACATACAAAAAACCCCTTCCATAGTATTTATGAACACTGTTGCATGTAGTATGAGATGATTTTTTTTGCTTTCTTGACTTTATTTATGAAGACTAGCATTACAGCAGTGCTGGACTTCTATTGTTCTTATGAGAGATGGACTGCAGAAGAAAAGTTC